CAAGAACCATGACCCCTTTCCATATTCCTCTCACAACATCATACCTATTGTGATTCCTTAGTGCCCTATTTTTCATCACTGCTGCATTCCTGTTACCTTTAGTCGTCACGTATATTTCGTGTTCCTTAGGTACTCGGTCTCATTGCTTATTCATACACCCAGATATCTGTATTTATCTGTTACCTCTAGCAAGACCTCCTGTATTCTAAGTTCGATCACTACCTCCGTTATCATTAAAAATCATGACTGCTGACTTTTCCTTACTGAATCTAAAATATAACCTATCTCCCTCATTACCGCAGATGTCCATCAATTTCTGCAAATCTTCCTCGTTGTCGGCCATTAGCACTATATCATCTGCGTACATTGAAGCTGGTAGTGCCTGATCAATGAGTTTTCCTTGTTTGACTAAAGAAAGGTTGAAGCCAAGTCCACTTCCCTCTAATTTGGCCTCTAATCCTTGCAGGTACATCATGAATAACAAGGGTGACAGCGGACACCCCTGTCTAATTCCCGTTTCACCTCTGTGGGCTTGGTTACCTGTTTTTCCCACTTTATAACTACCTTGTTACTTTTATAGATTTCCTTTAAAAGACTAGTGACTCCATCTTCCACACCCAGTCTGTCTAGTATTCCCCGCAAGTCCTCTTGAACCACGCTATCGTACGCTCCCTTGATATCCAAAAATGCTAGCCACCGGAGCCTGTGTTCCTTTTCTGCTATTTCGATGCACTGCGTCAGTGAGGACAGATTATCTTCCAACCTCCTGTGTGTCCGAAACCCATTCTGCAGTTCCCCCAGCACCCCCACATCCTCTATCCATGCCTGCAGTCTTTCCTTTATAATCTGCATCGCCAGCCTGTAGACCACTGATGTCACTGTTATAGGACGGTAGTTGTTTATGTCATCTTTGTCCCCCTTTCCTTTATAGATCATGGTCATCCTGCTAAGTTTACATCCCTCGGGAACTTCACCATCGATTATTGTTTTGCTCGCTGCTTCTCTCAAAGTCTGCTTAGACTTGGCACCCAATGCCTTTATCAGCATAATTGGATGCCAACCGGGCTTGTTAATGTACTACCGGGAAGCCTCTTCTCAGCCCTTTTACACTCATCGTGAAAATGGAGCCATTGCGCCACTTGATTCATCCTTGTCTACTGTGGTGCATAAAGCACTTGGTTGAAATTTTTCTGTCACCCTTGTTCTTATATATTCAATAGTTTCGTCCCCTTCTAGCATTGCACCTTGAGCTGTAGTTATAAACCTCTGCTCTAGGCTCGTCTCATTTCTTAGGGAGTTTAGATGGTTCCGAAATTTTGCAGCTGTCTTTCTATCTTTTTTATGTACTTCTGCCAGCCACTGAGCTCCCTTTCTTCTAATCTTCTCATTGATCAGAATAGATGCATCCCTTCTACAGCTTAGAAAGATTTTCCATTTTCTTTCAACATCATCTGTCGGTTCACCCCGCTGCTTAGCATGTCTGTGTTCCCTAGAGGCTTCCTGACGTTTTGCTATGGCTCTCTGAACTTCCTCATCCCACCAACTCTTGGGCTTGTGTCTTCTTTTCCGGGGTGACTTGTCACGTGCCTTAGCAAGCTCTAGCTCAAACAGTCTAATAAGGTTTGTGTATGTCCACACAGTTTTGTTATCCTCAGTGATTACTTTCTCAATTTGTTTAGTAGCAATTTCTATTTGCCTTTCTGAATGAAAATTTTCCTGTAGTTGCTCATCTTGTCTCCTTCCCACTTTCGCTGCTCTTCCAAAACTTAGCTTGATACGTTTGTGATCACTACCCAGACTTCTGGAGCGACCTTCATCTATGTGCATTCCCCTGAGCTTATCATACATCCTATGTGACATCAGTGCGTAATCTATCGTTGACTGCAGCCTTTCTACCTCCCATAGTATTTGCCCTTCACACTTCTCGGTACTGTTACAAACGATCAAATCATGCCTTTCACACATATCCATGATCATTTTGCCTGTTGAGTCAGTATACCCATCTATATCTTCTATGTGCGCATTCATATCTCCTAGTATAATTATAAATTCCTCAATGTCCCTTGATATACACTCCACCATTGCCTGGTTTTCCTCTCTGGCCTTTGCTCCCGTCCACAAGTATACCAAACTAAGGAGTGTCATCCTATAGTTATAGAGGCATGCCCCGCTGCGATGGTCTAGTGACTAAGGTACTCGGCTGCTGACCCGCAGGTCGCGGGATAAAATCTTGGCTGTGGTGGCTGCGTTGTCGATGGAGGCGGAAATGCTGTAGGCCTGTGTGCTCAGATTTGTGTGCACATCAAAGAACCCCAGGTGATCGAAATTTCCAGAGCCTTCCACTACGGCGTTCCTCGCAATCATATGGTGGTCTTGGGATGTTAAACCCCACATACCAATCAATCAATTCACTGTCATTCAGTCAGCTTGGACGTACACTAACCACTACACCACACCACGCTACAGAACCGTCTGTAATGAAACAGGCTTGTGTAGGCACCGATGAGTTGTTTGCACATGGCGCGAACATTCCTGCAGTTACCCCAAAGAATGGGTGCTCTACTCCACAAGGAGCAAAGAGCCCTTTTCGTGATAACTGCGCAGTTACTCTGGAAAGCTTTTCAGAGTCTCTGTGCACGTGTACACCTCTGTGAGCTCGTCTTTGCCGAGGAAGAACTAAGCAGCGCTGCCACATGTGTCCTTTTTTTCTGTCAGAGTTGTATTTTGAGCTGCAAAAGACAATTGAAGTCGAATGAAAACTAACTAGCCTGACTCCTAATTAGGCCTTCATCAGTGCAAAAAAACCACAATCTTTCACCTTCTCCCTAGGTCCGGTGGGTCAAGCTGCGTGGTAAGCTTGGAAGCTGATCTTCCCACTGTGCTCGAGTCCACTGCTTTATTCTTCGCCACTTTGCAAACTGCTGCCATAACTCCTAGTTACCGTAAGCAATGCTGATCAGATTTATCAGAGACAAAAGCGCAAACCTTTTTGTGGTGCTTCTAGTACGGCAAAACTAAAGCATTTAAAATGATTCATCACAATCATCAGCTCACAGCAGCTTCGATAAAGCAGCGATGATGCTATTCATTTTTGGTCGAAGAAAACAACTTCTTTGAAGCAGCAAATGCTCTGACTGGTCCATAAATTTATTGCTCGTTCCCATTCATAACAAAACAAGTACAAGACGCTTTCGCATGTTGTACTGTAGCCCGCTTTGCAATGCTACAGCACAAGGCGTGAAAGAGTCGCATAAGCGGCCTGCACCACAAAAAACATTCAAGGACAATCGTCACAGCAGAAATTTAGGAAAAATTTTATTATATTGAAACATTCTCTGGTAACATTTTCATTTCCTCGTAGCAATATAGTAGAGTGATTACTGTGCTGAAAGAAAACTTCGCTTTAGTTGTTGGTTTCCCCAATGTGCAACTGACAGTGAGCACTATCAAAAGTGGGGGGGCTCAGCTCCTCCAACTTTTCTCAGTGAGGGGGCTCACGCCCCTCTTGCCCCCCATGGTACGCATATGGACATTGTGTTTTGGATTTAAGATTTTTATTTAGAGCTAGGTACCATTTAAAGAGTTCATCAAGCAATCTTTCTTGATTGCCAAGATTGGCGTCTTGAAAACAATATGCTGACGTGTTTTGTACGGCTCAGAACAATACTGTGCTAAGTGGAGACACATAGCGCCTATGTTCAGTTTAATACTTGGGGCTTCTAAGCTGAAACAGTCATGGTCTCAACCAAACAAGACGGAATTACACTTGTGTTCCGGAGTGCATTAAGTCTGTGCTTCATATTGTATTTATAAGCTACACTTTTTTTTTTGTTACGATCATGTCAGATTGATGTTTTGCTTGAGATAATCAAACAATGTTCAAGGTCAACGAGCTTTTATAAAGCAAAGAATTATTCACTTATAGAATGAACATGAGATTCAGAGCAAAATACTTAGTGCCTGGAAGATCTCATTGCCAGTTCACATCAATTTGGTGCATTTGAAGCACTAAAGACGACTGGAAGAATGCAACGTAAATTATACCAAAATGAAAAGATCTGCATGCTCACAAGATAGATGGTGTGGCCAACAGTCAAGTGTTCAAAAGCAATTGCTGATCAACCTTTTATAGTGGCACATGCCACTGTTTATTGAGTGGTCAAATAACTTTTACTCATCTTGTTATGAAGAACTTCAACTTTATATACATGCTAGTTCTTAATGAATCTGTTCTAGCCTCGAAGAAGACAACTCCACTTGTCGAAACATCGGCTCGTGACAACAACCTCTGTTTAGGAATCTTTTTTTCATTTCAAATTTAAGGGTATCATATCCAAGAGCAACTGAAAGACTTAATAACTCACTTGAAAGTCAGGATTTAGTATTTGTCACCATATTTACATCTATCTTCCTTAAACCTGCACACACAACTGCCACACTAATGAGCATCTCGCAGATATCATATTCACCACTTCTCCCAACTATGCTTTTTTTTTATGTACATGCTGTCTATCAGCCATCATTTTACCAAATGAGCACGTTTCCGCATGGGAAAATCTGGAGGTAAGGTGACTCTGGCATGACAGCTGCAGCAAATGAACTAATGCCTGACAGTGCCATGTCATTCGAGGACAGACAATGCCATAGATACTTGCCAATGCCATAGAGACAATGCAAAGATACTTGAAATACAAACGTGTAATTTAGACAGGGACTTAGTAAGAAGAGGACAAGCGCTTGTCGTTGTCTCACTGAATCCCTGTCTAACTTATGTGCTCATATCTCAAGCATCATAAATCATCACCTCGTCTAATCAGCCATTTTTACTTGCAAAGGTCTCCTGCAGTGCTCATCGCCAGCAATTGTTGGCAAAATTTGGCAGGCCCTTTAGAAAATGGCATCCCTTTTGAAGTGTCCACGGTTTTCGTGTTATTTGTATGGCAACTTGCATGCAAAGGCCGTGGCACAAAAGGGACATTTAAATGGCTTCTTCCTCGTACGTGTTCGCAAGTGATGAACGAGGTTCGTTTTCTGCATGAAATCGTGGGGGCACAGGTGGCACTTGTATGGCCTCTCACCGGTGTGTAAACGAACGTGTGCAATGAGAGTGCTACACGCTACAAATGACCTGCTGCAGTAGCTACACCCAAAGAGCCCAGTGTCCACATTTTCAGAGAGACGCATGTTGCTCCCTCTTCTGTCGATGGGTGGGACGTGTTGTGCCTTTCTGGTAGACAGGTAGCCTACAGGACGATCAGGACCGTGCTGCTGTCTTATAATGCCTGCAGTAAAAACAAACGTATTTAGTGTAAGAACCAATACACTAAATTTTAGCATGATGTCAGACCTGGTGTCTATGCATATGTAGATGAGACAGCTGTGAGGGTCTGTCACATGGAAGCACATGACAAGGAATGAACTAGAGTACTTCTTTGGGCTGGTTGGTACACGTCCGTAAAGAAGGAAACAGTGTGAAGCACAGGACAGGGATGGACTTGTCGTGTCTCTGTCTTGTTGTTCTTTGGTTCAGCCCTATTGTCCCTATTCGTATGCATTTTATTTAATGGTTACCAGTCTATTATGATGAGCACTGGTGAGATTGTGCATCATATGTGAACAACAGCACACAATTGAAAAGTTGGCGGCACAGCTTTGGAAAAACAGACAAAAAGATACCACCGCTCTGCACTAAAATATAAGGACAGGAAATGAATGCTTCTCATTTTTATGCTGTATGATGATGATTGGTCCAAAGTTTTTTAGAAATTTGGGAGAAAGGGTGGTGGGGAGAAGATGCATTGATGGCAAAGAGGGTCGTCAGCTAGTGGCTGTCTTACGCACAGAAGTAAAATTTTCTGTTTCTGTTGATTACACAGTGACAAAATAAATTAATGAAATCACTAATTATCTGTATATAAGCTCACATAATGTAATCTTAGTTACATATTTCACAATTCAGAGTTGTGGTGTTTAAGAAGAATGAGCATGTCAATTTCAAATACTACGGCAGTACTCTCAAAAGAGGCGTTGAAGGACAGCTGCTCTACCCGGTTACTTGCATGGCAATTGCAAAAAAGAATGACAAGGTGGCTGCTTAGATCCTGGTTACTGCTACCAAAGAGCAGCAGTACAGTTTTGCACTAGATATTAGCCAATTACTTGTGTGATTGGTAATTCATTTTGATAATGTTTCAATTGACGCTTACCAAGAACCCTTTTCCGTGCTGACTAACAAACAGTGTGTGTCCTACATTTGTGTCTGATTGCCCTCTCGGTTAAAAATTTATTTGACCCAAGTTAGCTAGAACAGACTATATACATGCAGCAGGAAGCGAGCAATCATGCAGCTTATGATTCCAAAATATTTTAGAGCTTCCCAATGAGTTGTCTATACTAGCATATGCAAAGTGAAGCCTGGAAAGGCTACTGTTGAGTCTTATTTCTTGTGCTGTGTCCTATAGTCTATGGCAATCAAAATTTTAGGATAGGCACATGTTCGGCCGGCTGCACCCCTCAGATGCACCCAAGCCAAGTAAGCCAAGTAATCAGTTCATATCACTGACCAATTGCGACATTGATCAGCAATATGCAGTACACTTTGGGACTTTCCAAAACTGCGCAACTCTTAACAGTATAATTCAGTACACCACACTTTCCCACAACAGCAGAGTCAGTACAATGTTCTATAAATTGCATCCATCTCATCAGTATGCCTTAGAAATAATAGAGACATGTACAACATTGCTCTATAAGTTGACAGAAAAAGGACGAAGTGTGCCCACAAAATCAGCTGCTACAAAGCGAATGATTCACTGTATGTAATGATTCATGAGACAAACAAGCAAGTTAAATGTCTCTACCCACATTATAATTTAGCCACAATGGAATCTGCATGATTTGGCACTCGCAGATGCAGATTCTGTTTTTATATTCTTGAAAATTTGTCGAGTCAGAAAGGATTAGTCATGTTTAGGTGTGGCAGAACTGGTGTACAATTACTTTGCTAGGTGACCACTTCAGTGGGCACGTTGTGGAAAAAGAGAGAACGCTTCATCTGGCAGCCTATGAATGCACACTTAGATGTACAGTGAGCTCGTGGGAGGGAAGATTGTTCATTAAGACTTGAAGACTTGAATTGTTCTTGTTGTAGAACTCATTACTCCTGGCAGAAATGTTCTTTTTGAGGGTTCGGCAATACGTCCATGGTACGCTTCTAGGCATCGCTCAGTGCCAGTGCTCGATGTTATGGTGTGGTTCACCTAGGAATTCCTTGACACACACTGCACCCCTTTGTCTTATTGCTTGAAGTAAAAGGCAATGTGCCACAATGTGTCACATATAGTGCAGCGCACCCTTGCACCTTGCAGTGAGTGGGTGCAGTCTGACACATAGTTGTCAGCAGGATTTTCTCTTGAGGGATGCAAACCAGTGTTGCATCACAGCTGGTGAAAGGGAAGAGTACTGGTATAGCTTGGGTGAGGAAAAGTGGTAGTGAGGCTTGAAGGGGGCAAGTCTTCACACGAACCAGTTTGTCCAAAAGATATTGTAACGGGGAGTATTTAATAAGTGAACGCCGGGTGGGCTAACACTGCACACAGTATGCAAGGATGCAGGACAAAAGGGCCATTCAGACACAGCCCCACAATAACATCGTCGTCTTCATTCCTTCTGCGTCAGTTTCTGCACCCGTGCCTGAGATACCTTTCAATGCCCGTGACATTACCCCGGGCGGCAAAGCACCGTCCCGCTGCCTGCTGTTATTAGACAGACGGGTCACAGTGATAGGGCTTTAGGCGAGACACATGCACAATGTCACTTCTGGATGAAACAGTGGAGTTCGTAGTAGGAGAAATTTCATAGGTGACAGGTGTGACTAGGGGCAGAACGCGGTAAGGCCCAACGTATTGCGATAAAAGTTTCTCGCACAGGCCGACATGACGGGATGGCAGCCACAGTAGCACGAGAAAGCCCGGAGAAAAATCAACATCCTTATGTCGGCTGTCGTAGAGCAACTTTTGTGCTCTCTGGGACGATGAGAACCTGGCGCGGGCTACTGTACGTGCGATCAGAGCACAGGAGATGGCATCTTGTGCGTACAAAGTGGTGAACGGAAGGTCATGCGCAAGCAGGGTATCGAAAGGTAGTAAGGGATCACGGCCAAAGAGAAGATAAAATGGTGAATAGCCGGCAATTTCATGACGGCACGAGTTGTAGGCGAAGGTTACGAACAGAAGGGCAGTGTCCCAGTCGGTGTGGTCGTCAGAAACATGCATAGCAAGCATGTTCGTCAGTGTGCGGTTGAGGCGCTCAGTGAGTTCATTGGTCTGAGGATAGTAAGAGGTCGTAAAGTTGTGCTGCGTAGCACAGGATCTAAGAAGGTCGTCAACCACACGAGACAGGAAGCAGCGGTCACGGTCCGGGAGTAGGTAAGAAGGAGCGCCATGCTGAAGGATGATGTCACAGAGTAGCAAATCTACGACGTCCGTTGCGCAGCTGGTCGGTAGCGCTCGAGTAATTGCATACCGAGTGGAATAACCCGTAGCTACTGCTATTCATTTGTTTCCCATTGCCGATGTTGGGAAGGGACCTCACAAATCTAAACCCACACGATGAAACGGCTCGGCTGGGACTTCTATAGGTTGAAGGTGACCGGCAGGGAGAAACGCAGGCTTTTTCCGACGCTGGTACAGGTCACACGCTGCAACGTGGCGGCGAACGGAACGATAAAGGCCCTTCCAGTATACCCGTCGGCGGACGCGATCATAGGTTCTGGAAAATGTCCGGAAGTTGGGGCGTTGTGAAGTTCTTGCAAGATGTCCTTGCGCAGATGACTTGGGACGAGGAGCAGAAGTTCCGCGCCATTGGGCTGTAAGTTGTGGCGGTACAAAACTTTGTCTTGAAGAAAAAATAGGCTCAGTGAAGGGTCTTTATGACCGGATTGAAGATGGTCAATTATCGATAGCAGTGATAGATCTCGGCATTGTTCGTTGGCTATTTGCAAAAAATCTGTTATGGCTGGAATGTTGGCATCAGCTTCTAACTCGGAGGAGTCAGGTAGATCAACAGGTTGTCGAGATAAGCAGTCGGTATCGCTGTGAAGCTTGACTTGTACACTACAGAGAACGTGTACTCCTGCAATCGCAATGCCCATCTCCAGAGTCTTCCTGTCGGATCCTTAAGGGTTGACAGCCAGCAGAGCGCATGGTGGTCTGTGATGACTGCGAACGTGCGTCCATATAGGTACGGACGAAATTTTGCGATAGCCCAGATGAGAGCCAGGCACTCTCGCTCCGTAATTGAATAGTTCTTTTCCAACTGAGAAAGTAGGCGGCTGGCGTACGCTATGACACGATTTGTGACATCCTGCATTTGCGCGAATATTGCCCCTACACCATGGCCACTTGCGTCGGTGCGTAGCTCAGTTCGAGCGGCTGGGTCAAAATGAGCCAACACAGGTGGTGATGTGAGCGCACAAATCAACGACGCAAAGGAATGTTCTTGTCTTGACGCCAAGAAAAAGCCACGTTTTTTTTTTTTTAAGAAGATCCGTGAGGGGCCGAGCAATTTCCGCAAAGTTGCTGACAAAACTGTGGAAATACGAACAGAGTCCCAAAAAGCTTCGGACTTCCTGGGTGGAACGTGGAACCGGAAACTCGCGCACCGCGCGGACTTTATCGGGGTCGGGTCGTACACCAGCAGCGTCAACAAGGTGGCCAAGTAGCTTTATCTGACGGTGCCCAAATGTGCACTTAGACGCGTTAAGCTGGAGGCTAGCACAGCGAAAAACGTCAAGGATGGCCGACAGACGTAGAAGATGGCTTTCGAAGGTTGGCGAGAAAACGATGACATTGTCTAGATAGCACAGGCATGTCGACCATTTAAAACCGTGAAGGAGGGAGTCCATCATGCATTCAAATGTTGCTGGCACATTGCACATCCCAAAAGGCATGACTTTAAATTGATAAAGCCCGTCGGATGTTATGAATGCAGTCTTCTCGCGGTCGCGGTCATCGACTGAAATTTGCCAATATCCAGATCGTAGGTCCAGGGAAGAGAAATACATGGCACTATGAAGGCAGTCAAGCACATCATCAATTTTAGGTAGAGCACAGACATCCTTTTTTGTTATTCGATTGAGATGGCGATAGTCGACGCAGAACCGCCAGGTGTTGTCCTTATTTTTAACCAGCACAACAGGTGATGCCTAAGGATTGTTTGAGGGTTATATGACGTCTTTGTTGAGCATTTTCTCTACCTCATTCTGGATTATTCGGCACTCTGAATGAGACACACGGTAAGGACGCTTATGGAGGGGACTGGCGTCGCCAGTGTCGATACGGTGGGTTACGACGCTCGTGCGGCCCAAGGAGCGGTCATCGATATAAAAGATGTCGAGGTAAGAAAATAGAAGACCACGGAGCGCTTCAACTTGGGACGATGACAGGTCGTTTGATATCATTTTGTCTAGAAAAGCTCTATTCTGTGCGGCTGCAACAGGTTCGGCTACGATCTTGATGTCAGGAGTAAGAGATGAAATTGTACATTGCTCCAAAGTGGAGAGTTCTGCTAAGGCAATACCTTGAGGAATGACCTGGGTCGACATGGAGAAGTTGAGGGCAGGAAGAAGCATCTTGTTGTCGCTAATCCTCACTATAGTATGAGGAAGTATGATGTTGCGGGAAAAGGTCAGGTCAATTAGTGAAGCTGCCAAGTAGTCGCCATCAGGAACAGATGGGAACGGCAACATAGAAAGGTACACAGCGGCCTGAGGCAGTAATCGTAGACACTCCACGGACCGTAGCCGTGTGCGAGCTGCAGGAGGGGCATCAGAGTACAAAGGCAGCTCTAGCTGTAAAGTGCCTGTTGAACAATCAATGAGGGCTGAATTTGCGGTCAGGAAGTCAATGCCGAGAATCACGTCGTGTGGGCAAGCAGTTCTAGAAGAGCGAAGAGGACTGAAGTGTGAAGGTTGGCAACAGTGACACGGACTGTGCACATACCAAGAACTGATGTTCGGCTGCCGTCGGCTACTCGCAGAGTCGAAGACATGGCAGGGGTAAGAACTGCCCAGAATACGCCAGTGACGGGGAGCGACGGCGTTGATAGGAGCGGGGCTGGCGACCCTGAGACGACGGCGAGCAGCTGGACCGGGTTCCCTGGGCGACATCGGCGTAGGACGGTTCGGAGCGTTGCGTAGAACGGCTAGGTGAAAGGTCCTGAAGGTGGTCATCGGCAAAACGAGGTGGCGAATACTGCCCACGATCCTGTCGGTGGTTGTCTAGAAAACGTTGCCAGAAAGGCCATCTGTTGCGGCAGTGGCGGGAAATGTGGCCAACCCGATGGCAAGAGAAGCATATCGGTCGATTATCTTGTGTGCGCCACTCAGATGGATTTTGGTAGCGCGATGAGAACCGCGGAACCGACGCGGCAGCAGCAACAAGTGGGGCGGCGTGGTAGTGAGCGTTAGTATTTATGGGCTGCGGTGTGTGGCTGGAGTTTTGGGGAACTAAGACGCCCATGTTGGCAAACTCTTGTCGCACAACAGCCTGAATAAGAGATATTGGGACCGAGTTGTCAGGCACAGGGGGTTGATAAGCGGAAGGAGCCATGGCTTCCAGCTCCTGGCGGACAATTCTTGTGATGTTTGGAGGATTCACGAATGGACGTGGCGCCACAGGATTCTTGCATGAAGAAGTCGCAGCGGTGTTCGGGAGTCGGGAAAAACGTTGAGTGATTCTCCTGCTTTTGGCTTGTTCGAACTGCCAACATTCACTGACAATTGAGTCAATGGTGGTACAGTTCTTGCATATCAGAATGTTGAAGGCATTGTCGGCTATGCCTTTCAACACATTGCTGACCTTGTCTAGTTCGGTCATGTCTTTGTCGGCCTTCCAACACAAGGCGAGCACGTGTTTGATATAGGTGACGTACGACTCGGTGGAAGATTGAACTCGTGACGCGAGTTCCTGCCTGGCTGCCATTTGTCGAGCAACTGACCGGCCGAACTAGTCACGGAGCTTCTCCTTGCACACGTCCCAACTCGTCAGGTCTTCCTCGTGCGTCTTGTTCTAGGCGCGTGCAGTACCTCACAGGTAAAAGATGATGTTGGCCAGCGTAAGCGTCTCATCCCACCTGTATTGCTTCCTGACGCGCTCGTATAAGGCGAGCCACTCGTCAATGTCAGTTGTGTCTGTGCCGCAAAATGTACCTGGATCGAGAAGATGGGAGGGATCACGGGTGACGGAGCAGGCGTAGACTGAATGGACGGCGCACTGCCTTCAGGCATCGTGGCTGGACGAAGCTGACGTTTGCTACGAAGATCCAGAGCCGGAATGTTACCCCGCACCTCCACCAAAAATATGTAACGGGGAGTATTTAATAAGTGAACACTGGGTGGGCTAACACTGCACACAGCATGCAAGGATGCAGGACACAGCCCCACAACAACATCGTCGTCTTCATTCCTTCTGCGTCATTTCTGCACCCGTGCCTGAGGTACCTTTCTATACCCGTGACAATATAATCATTGAAAAATAAGCATACATATCCTGGATGTAGCAACTTGTGACGATAAAAGGTGGAGGGTATAAACCGCTCTGTGGCATAAACTAACTTGGAAAATGAGATTTGTGACAAAACGTCAAATGTAATTGTACTTTTATTTGGAAAAGCTGGAAACTTATAGTCGCAGACAGTTTCTATTTGAATGTTCTCTTACAGCTTGTCATGTTGAGATTGCAAGTAACAAAGTTATTAGTAATGCACTTTTTTTCTGTACTGTCATTCTATATTACTGTTTTAAAGATTTATACTTTTTTGGCTACTTCAGCAACACCAACCTTCGATAAAATGAAGGCACACTTATTTTGTAAGACCGTGGTTCTGGCACAAAATATTTGGTGTCCCACAGGTGACATGTGGTTCACATGAATTTAGTGCATTCTGAAGTAATAATATAACTGGTAGAAGAAAATTGAAATATCTACATGCTTGTGTAAAATGAAAAAGTAGATCATATTGTGTAAACATGCCACTGTGATGTTTGTCAAAACATAGTCGTCCTGCTTAAATGTGAATTTTTAGACGTCGAGAACTCTACTGACACATTTCCAGTTGAAACTCGATTGAACGAAACCCTATTGAACGAACAAATTCACATTCCCTGCACAGATGCCCATATGCTATTTTTCTTCCCGGTCTAACGAGGTTCCCAATTTAACCAAATAATCTGCAGGTCCCCTCAATTTCATTGAACCAAGTTTTAACTGTACAGCCTTTCAAGCTAATGCAGAATACTGTAATGTGAAAGTCCAAGGACTTCTGTACCAAGGCAGAATGGCACCAAGCATAAATATTCTATAAATATAGGTTCAGTAACTGGATAGACAAACTGTTAAAGATCACCGCACGGGATACCGGAGAAGTTTACATAAGCATTGAGAAAGCTCTTCAGCACCATTTGAGCAGTTTTGTCAATTAGGTTTTTTGTATGTAAATTGTCCGTTTCATTGCCAGATAGAAGTTTGCATGCATCTCACGGAGTATACTAATAGTTTGCTAGTCTCACACAGTGAATGGAAGAAAAAAAATCATCAGCTCTAACAAAACAAGCAGTGATAGTAATGAGGGAGCTTTGATTCTGCGAAGTCTTCATTTCATGTTAAAAAAATCATGAGTTCAGTGGTATTTCAGGAAACTGTGCATTGAAGGATGGCAGAACTCTAAGAAATGAAGTCGGCGACAAGCAAACAGGCACAAAGAATGCTTTTATACCCGACGACCAGCGGTCCCCACTGTATACCACGAAGTCTTATGCAAGCTCCCCCTGCGACTAGCAACACATATATACATATTTTGCTGACTTTTGGAATGTGCAAAAGTCAAACTTCGTCTCCTTTTAAAACAATGACGAAAAAGAAATGATAGGTGCATTTGCACTAGCAATTCACACTTCTCCAAGACTTGGAAAGCCACTCATACCAGAGATGAACCTTTGTAAGTCAGAAAACAAGCTTAATTGATAGATGGGTTCTGCAACCTTTAAGGTGCTCACACCAGCTCACCGTGGCACTGTGGATACTGCATCCACACTAGTCAAAATTTTTATCAGTGGAGACAAGGTACACTGTATTATAAAGGAAAAACTTACACTTACACATGTTTTAAGGGCTTTCATGGAGCCAAGAGATATGTTGAAATCTGTGATGCCACAGTGGTTTTATCAGTGCTAGAGTTTAGGTATGAAATCCAAGTAACTGAGGCTTTGTCTAATGCTATTGCTTTTAGCTCTAAACTTGTCACCTTAATACTCATAAATTAAATTAACACATCAACATAAACAGATTTAGCACACCTCTTCTGCATCCCTTCAAACATGTGTAAGCACTATCCACTACTCTTGATACATTTGACAGAGGTGTAGTAAATTATGACAGAGAATGGCAGCTGCTGTGCAAATACCTTCAACGTTTAATGCCAGCAAATGTCGGGTACATGTGGCCAGCCCCTCAAGGAGTAGCAGCCACTTTCAAGTGTTTGCGGTGCTCATGGTACTTGCACTGCAACTTGCGTGCAAAGGCCATGGGACAAAAACGGCACTGGTATGGTCTCTCCCCCGTGTGCGTTCGCACGTGGTGCACGAGGTTGGCCTTCTGCGTGAAGGATCGAGGGCAAAAGTGGCACTGAAACGGCCTCTCGCCAGTGTGTATGCGAAGGTGAATGTTCAGGTTGCCACGTGTAGCAAAAAGCTTGTTGCAGTAGCCACAGACATGAGGCTCGTGGTTGACATTTTCGGCGGCACTTCCTGTGTTCTCAGCGAGCGAACAGTGTCGTCCCGCTTGTATGACAGACGAGTTGTTTGGGCACTGATTGGCACCCCGCTGCCATCTGGTGGGTCCTGCAAAGTGGATGAACGAATTGAACGCCAGAGCTACACTCGGTGACGAGATAGCACCATATCGGACAAGGAAGAAAGTGGAGGAAGGACCAACTCAGTTTGCGACAATTATGAAAACATTGCTACATTGAAACTGAATCGAGACTTTGTTCTTGATACAACAGCAGATAACTGGTTTATGTTGATCACCAATTCCCATCATTCACACACATACGGTGTCGCCCTCCGACGTTATCAATAATTATACCATCGTCATGCAGCGCAAGTTGAGATCAGCCATCCTTACCTAATGCTTATTAGTAGTGGTAGCATGCGGATGAACACTGCAGGCAATTTGCACAAACTTTAAAGGGAGGGAAAGGGGAGGTTATGCTTAGGTGTGCTCACACATGTAACTCTTTGTAGTGCATCAAATATTGACGGAAATGAACGTGACAAGATGGAGCACATTCTAACAACTTTCAGCGCATTGCTCTCTAAAAAAGATTTCTCTTCGTCTTAGAGTAATTTTCCACTAGGCAGCCTAAGTAGCCAAAATCAGCTGTATGTATATTACCTTTCACATTTGTTTTCCAGTTTGATCATGTTACCTCATAGCATCAGTCTATAAACTGTCCGCTTTCTTTCTTATCATATAGCTACCTCTTTTTTGACAGAGGAAAGAGGCTCAATATTTATTGGCTGTTGAACGTCACAGCAACAATGGAAATGTGAATTTATTAGCGAAACCCTACAAATCAGTAGTATGCATTGCATTCCAAACAAAATGAAGCGACACACTGGTCGTATTCGCTGCTATTGTGATGCGGCACACTTGCAAGAGCAATCGCGCACTACATTTTAACGCAACCAGTATTAAGCTGTCTGGCTTGAGTTATACTAGAACGTTCACTCAAATGTGAAAGGTTTGTAAAATATGTATAGCAGCCCTGAAAACCAATGATCTGTTCCTGGTAATTCAGGCATGCAGAGTAGAAGTGGGAAGGTAGTGTAGTATGTCAAACAAATGCAAATGTACACACTACAGCCATTTAACAGAGTGAAAGTTTTATTTGCCCGTATACTTTACATAGGAACTAGTTTGAAAACAAACCCACAACATACAAAGAAAATGTTACATTACGTATTTTATGATAATAAATAAGGAATTCTGCAGCACTTTTCATTATTAAAAATGAAAGTAGGAGACAGACATTGTGAAAATTGTGATAAAGAATGATCTCGGTTGCTCATACGTGCCTATAAACACAGCACAAAACAAACAAAAAATAAACAGCTGTCATGGTTCTAAACATAAATATCTGTTGGACTTTGATATCAAGTTAAAAAACCTTATTTGTAATACATAAATGGGAACCAATTAAATGGAACCTTTCTTTGGTATTGACAAAGAATACTATCTTTGTTCAGCACCTCTTAGCAAGTATAGATTGCATGACAGCTACACATTTTCACCAAAACACACCGTGCCCAAAGTAAACTTTTGGCTCTCCAGCACATCTAGACACCGAACACGAGCCACAATTTATCTCGTACATTATGCACTGAACCGAATTCGTCTTGCACGAGCATATTCTTAACACACTTGTTAGAAAATATTCTCGTGTTCGATTACCACACTATATCAATGTATGAATGCCACATGGCTTCGCAATTAGCAGAGCACTTGCATTCCAAGTTATTCTTTTTACATTCCTCCATTTGTTCCTCGATCGTATGCTTCTCAAGAAATTCGCATAGTATTCCTCAGCACTCGCTGGCTTTACGTAACGCTGCTCCGCCTCATGTTTACGAACAGTAAGCGCTCGCATTCTAAACAATGCTTTACTGCACATCAAGAAACTTTCTGTTCTACTAGGCACTTTTTCAATAAAAGACATGCTTTTTGCTACATATACTGCGAACTGTACTACCTTGGTTAGCAGCGCATCAACGACTAGTTCACTGTACAGTTCCTCTCGATATGAGCAGCACCAGAGCGGCACCAACAAGAAACATTGGTGAACTCAACATGCTAATTGGTTATTTGTTAAACCAATCTGGCATTTGCCAATATCACCGTCTAGGCTTGAGGTCCCTTCTACCTTAAGTATTACATCAACCATGAACGTGCCTATGCTGGACATGACTTCACAAGATAACTGCTAATAGCTGCGAAGTGAACAATAGAGTCGGAAAAGATATTTTGTTGAACTGGGCTCACCATGGCCAATCAGAAATCCAGGCCCTCACTTTTCACGAGCCATACTGCAAGGCCAAAGCCACAGGCAACAGAGTTGGGGCATTGAAAATGTCAAGAAACAGTTCATTAAGAAGTTTTCTGAATATTACCAGTGTAAATTTACATAGCCTAAAATTACGGTATTCCAAGTGTTACTTGCTGAAATGACCTGGGGCTGCACTCTTTCCAAGTATTCACTGATGTTACTTCATGATAAACCACTGATCCCATTCACTCATCTGCACTAGCCCTCGCACACGGATTAAGAGTCTGCTAAGTCTCTGTGACAGTACTCGCCGGTGTGCGTGACCACCAATACAACAGCCCTGACCGTCAGAGTCGGTCTGTTAAACCCCTGTACTCCTCCACACTTTGGCACATAAAAACACCACATACATTTCACTTAGTGCTCTCGCTACAGCTGTTAGTGTGCGTGCCCATGTGAGTCGCAAGGTTTATCTTCTGCTTGAAGGTAATGTGGCAGAGGTGGCACTGGAATGGTCTTTCGCCGGTGTGGATGCGGAGGTGTGTCACCAGGTTGCCCTTCTGCATGAAGGCTTTGCCGCAGACGTGGCACTTGTGCGGGCGCTCGCCTGTGTGTATTCTCTCGTGGTTTTTCATGTTGGTACGATATTTGGTTGTGTACGCACACACGAGGCACTGCCACACTCGACCTCCCGTGTGCACGTCTAGAAGAGATCGTGGCCGGCCGGGACGACGGTGCGAAGTGGCGGAGTCTGCAAAGATCGAAATTGCATGTTCTTGATAAAAAACAAAAAAGAAGGCAAGTGAGAGAAGGGATGGAGAGGTCAGCCACTATATGTTGCAGTCAGGGTTCTCCTCACAGTGGGCAGCGGTAGAAATACTGCCCAATACTATACTGATGGTGATGATGACTACACATCACCATCCATTGCTTCAATTCACCGCTCACCACTTCAACTGAACTTTTCGAATATGCTCCTAAATAACCAATAGGTAGCAAACATACGCAAGCAGCACCTCTGAACTATACCGACTGCCACCCGGTTGTGTAAAAAGTAATCTGTACATGTGGCTCATGATTTCAGAGACCGTCAAAACCTGTGCAAGCACTTATGTGCGATGATCCCCATTTCCATTTTCGGCGTGCTAACCTCAGATTCAGCGCTAATGCGTGCCTCCAAATTGTGCGACCAGAAATAGAATGTGAACACTTGTAGCACAGAATAAGCTGGTTGCAAACCCGAAATTGTTAAACTTAGCCCCTTGTTTCATGATGTATACTACCCCCAGAAATTTTAGGGGAGAACCCTGGTTGCAGCTGTAGGATCAGCAAAGAAATAAGCCCGTGGCAACATGGAAATAAGATCATTAAAGAGAACTTGCACATATTAATCGGAATAAGCAGCACTCTTACAGCACGCCACACAATTCACATGTTGGTAACAACAGCAGTAGAACATTGAGGTGATAACTTAGACCAGGTTTTGTTTTTTATTCCATTTATTGGAAAGCATTCAGTGTGATCAACTCCTCCTGTCTGCACACTGTAGAGAGAGAGCAACCATAAATGATGGAGCCAGTTTCCCCCACAGCCATAGAGGTCAAAAGCTAGGCTTGTGCAGCGCACGCACAAGGAGCTTTGTTATGGTCGGGCAAGTTGGCACAACTCACTCACCCAACTATAATGGAGTAGCATAACAACAGTGCGAGTAAAAAGTAATATTGCTACCACAAGACTGTGTTCACTGAAGAGGCTATCATTTCACAACCGTCACGTAGCAGTGAACAAGGCAACAAAGGCGACACAAATAGAAAGGTTCAATCACTGGTTTACAGGTGCAGACATTATTCAGAAGGATCAGAATGAATTAGCATAAAAAAAGTGGGCTCACAGAAAATGTCGTCATTTAATTGTGGAAGGATAAAATAAATGGCTTATTATCAGTGAATAATCGAATCAAATTTGCAAGCTTGAACATTCTTTACTGGTGATGATCACATAAAAACCTCGTCAAAGCAAGTGCATTGAAAGTCATACTGGATTCCAATAGACAAACACTGATAACAGGTGCATTTGAAAGCCTATGCTTTTCCTTTATATCGGTGATTACTGGTCAGCATCAGACATTACTAGTACAGTGAAACCTAATCTCAAAGGCAGCCCAGGTGCTCCTGTCCATCGATGCAAGTATAGTCGATATTTATGAAAAGGCACTTAGCAGCGTTAGATCTCAGTTTTGATTGCAAAGCGAACCACCACAGAGGCACAGCAGATCATTAGTACATATGATCATCAATGCTGAGCTTCGAGAGCATGTCATCACCAGTGCTCTGTCACAGCCAAGTGAAGTGCTAAATAGTCAGATGTAATTTGTCAATAGCGAGTCATTTCCAGGCACTAGCTATCCATACACTGCAAACGCTTGCAAACAGCTCCCAGAATACAATTTAATTTACCATGCAAGCTTTTTATGAAGAGTTCAAAGAGAGCAATGGTGGCAACAGTGAATATGTGATTGTAACAGGAGTGTTTACATTGCACAAAGCCTAGATGCAGTGCAAACTGACGTAATTGTCACTAAAAAATGGTAAGTTCCATCTACTGCCACACAATAATATTTCCCTACACTCAGTCTTGTAGCTTTCACATAACATGAAAAAAATAATTGGGTTAAAGCAGTGTTTATCACCTTGAGCAAAATAGAAATTTCTGCACATTGGTAGAAGTTCACCGTAAAACAGCGCGCACAGCATGAATATGAAGAAGAAAGAAACCGATGACTCGAGCTTTGACTATCAACTGAAACTTTCATTTGACACAGCAACTTATATCAATAAAGTAGATCAATGCACGATGCAACATTTGCGTATCTGGGCTGACAAATTAGTGATAGTATATGCCCATTCAGCAATAAGTTTTATGAAGCACTTCACTTCAAAAAGGAAGGAAAGGAGTGTGTCAGCTGGGTCTTGCTTAATTTTCTTTAAAAAGGAGATTAGGCATTTAGATGGCACTTAGGTTGTGGATTATTATGTCCTCGCTGAAATTGCACGTATCGTTCCTAGTTTGTAGCCTATATATGCTTATGTTGCATCAGGTGATGATCTGCTTAATGGATATATGCTGCAGTATCAAAGAAAAAAGTGTCACTGCAGTATTGAAGAAAAAAATGTCACTCATGTGTAGTTTCTTTTTTTTTTTGTCTTCATGCATGTGCACAGTTTTATTATAAAAACTTAACTCGCCACACAAGTTCAAAATGACTACCAGCTTCAAACAAAATTTCTATACAAGTGGTTCCCATTATTTATGCGCCATTGAGGTGTCACTCGAAGGGCTTTGTTTCGATATACTTTTTCAATTGTACACAAACCTGCACGTCTCTTTTGCTGCACTTGACATCACAGCAAGGGAAGGTGAGCAAACGCATGTGCAAGACTCATCATTAGAAATTGTGACCGGTTTTTTAAACAGTATTCAAATGATTGGATGAAATCGCAATTCGACTCCTGGGAGCGTGACTCGTCACACTTCCCGTGTCGCTGCTCCAGTCTATGCGAAGCAATTTGTGAAACGACGAAAGCCAGTTGAGATCCTGCGGGCAGCAACACCAAAATCCTAGCTTGTAGTGTGAATTCTCCCTTGTCGTGTGAATGCTGGTTGCGCAGGGATACAAATGACGCCACATGTGCAAGTGACTGATCCTTCCGCGATCACGTCTGTCATGTGAATACAGCTTCAAAAAGCAGTGGTCGTCCCTTTTGTATGCTTGCGGAGTTCATGGTATCTTCGTTGCAACTTGCGCACAAATGCCATCGGACAATAGCGGCACTGGAAAGGTTTCTCCCCCGTGTGGGTTCGCACGTGATGCACGAGGGTCACTTTTTGCGTAAAGGAGCGAGGGCACAGGTGGCACTGGAACGGTCTCTTGCCAGTGTGAATGCGCAGGTGGATGTTCAGGCTGCTACGCAGTCCTGTAGGACTTGTTGCAGTAGGTGCAAGTGTATGAGTCACCGACATGCACGGGATTACGGAAGAACCAGTAACTTCTGCTGCCTCCGGTGAGCAAGAAATGCTGCCCCGTCTGTCTGGCAGGCACGTTATGTATGTGCTGCCATCCACCGGTGCCTGCAAGAGAAACAACCGGGTTTAGACGTGAGAGCTAAAACATCTCGTGGAACACCCAAAAGTACAGCTTTTGGTTTTACATTGGCATACCTATGATGTAGCATTTATTATCAACCTGAAAATGTTTCGTCAGATTTTTTTTTTTTTTCATTAGCGCAGGCTTGCATTAATTTGCACAACCCTAGTTCGCGGCAGAGGTGGTGGACACCGGAGCTGATCCTTACTTGGCTGGGCTTTTACCTTTTCGCTTCTTGACTCGCATGTTGTTCATCCCTCTGATGCAGCGATGTTCCTTGGTGTTATTGGTGTTACCATTGACTCTCACCTAAAGTTTCATAAAGATATTGCAGCAATTTTGTCCGAAATTTCTTTTGGCATTTGTGTTTTAATTAAAACTCGCCCCTTCGTTCCATTGCACATTCTTCGTGCATTATACTTCGCCTTCATTCGTAGTCATTTAACATATTGCTGTTCTGCCTGGGGAAACACTTACAGGATTTCTCTCTCTAAGATTGCTCACTTGCAGAATAAAGCAATAAAAACTGTCACCTTCAGTCACTGGAGGGAGTCTGCCACGCCCACTGTACCGTAATCTCGGCTTTCTTCTCATCAATCATTCCATCTCATTAAAACTGGGTATGCTCGTTTTTCGTGCATGTCATCTTGACATTGAACTAGAAAACATCCCACCTAGTTTCCTAACAAACACAAATTTGACTAGTCTCCTTTGATCTTAGCTTACTGTTGCCGGTAGTACACTAGAACTATGGCAAACAGACAGCGCTTTTTTCAGGTATTTGCCTATGAAACTCTCTTCCCTCGATCAATAAACTTTGTCATAATTTAACAACATTTAAAATGAACTTGGGGAAACATTTCTTTCAGCTTTCATGCTAACATTTTTTCAGAGTGTTTCTTCATTTCCTTTGATTGATGTAACTCTTTGCAGAATGTATGTTATTTACAAGTTTTTGTTATTTTTGATGTTCTATGCCTTGAAACTTTAAAATGATTTGCGCTCTTGCTTTTCCGTTTTTGTTGAGAAATTCACACTTCATAACATGCTTCTCGTAGTCACTTGTCTGCCCTGTGTTTCATCAATCCATTCTCGATAGGAGATCCCCTTGACGGTATTTACCTTATGATCTCCTTCTGTAGCATTTATGAACCATGTCATTTGTATTTGATGATGATATTTTAATAAACCAATGAAACCTTCTGTCTTTGCCAACCCTTGCTATACTGTACAATACAAGGCTATGCTTGTTCTGTTTTTTCTATCATTTTTGAATGTATGTCTTTTTGTGTCTATATTTCTTTCTATCTCTCTCTTTACTCATTTCTGTACCTTCTTTCCTTTCTCCTCAAGTTCACTTCCCTTACCCAAGCGCCCCGCCGCGGTAGGTCTAGTGGCTAAGGTACTCGGCTGCTGACCCACAAGTCGCGGGATCGAATCTCGGCTGTGGCGGCTCCATTTCCGATAGAGGCGGAAATGTTGTAGGTCCGCTGTGCTCAGATTTGAGTGCACATTAAAGAACCCCAGGTGGTCGATATTTACGGAGCCCTTCACTACGGCGTCTCTCATAATCATATGGTGGTTTTGAGACGTTAAACCCCACATATCAATCTATCATTCCCTTACCCAACACCTTGTTATACTATATAATACAAAGCTATGCAGTGCTCTGCTAGTGTGCCCGAATAGCTGAATGTAACAAGACCTGAAAGTATAAATACTGTGTATCTTTCTTCCTTTAAGCATTCGCCTCCGTCATAAATGCGGCAATTCTCAATTTGTGAATGTACTTGAAGGTCGAACAATTTCGTTTGTGCTAAGAACAACAGCAACAATACAGTTTGGAAGTTGTGCACATCACACCGGTAAATAAAGCGTTTACATCACTATTATTCATGCACCAAAACACTGTGTAGATGCAACGGTCAAATATCAAAATAGAATTTATTCTTTGCAAACGACACTCCCGCAAAGCTGTGCTGAAGAGTGATATTGGAGCAAGCTTCTCTTTCTCCCTCTTTTTTTTTTTTTTTACTCGGCAGTGTTACGTGTTACTTCAATGTTACACATAACAGTACACGAGTTACTTTGAGGGCATACACAAGACTTTATAGGTGTATACCAGCAACCAAAGCAACCAATTTTTTGCTCTGTAGCACAGCTTAAACACAGTGAATGAATGCACATTCATACTGTGCACATTCACCTACCATGCCTGTGCACATGCCTGCAATGTTCATCATGTGTTTGCCGCACTCTACAGTAAACTCCACCTTACTATTAGGTGCAAATATTCACAGTAAAGTAAAAAGTGATAATGCATTCACAAAAAGGGTGTATAGCTGTTTTATATTTCCAACACTAATAAAGTTTGTTTTCAGTAATGCAATTACGTAATGCTTAAAAAGTCATGCACTACTTAGCTATTTAACATTTCAATATGCACGCTGTTCGCCAAAGTCCAGAATACTATACTCGGATACAACTTACGAAAAAAATGGCTCTTCATTGTCAATGGGCCCCCTATAACCAATGGCGTCGCTGTCTCGTTGTGATCCCACAAAAGAAAGCCTTCGCACGGCACTCACGGGAGAAATCACGAAGCAGAGTGTCAGAGCGTGTCACAAAGAGGCCGCAAAACTATTGGTTGGAGGAGGTCTTTTGATGGCGAAAAGCCTTTTTTTTTCTTGAGTTGTACCTGAAGGCACTCAAACTTCGATACAATGAACCAGGATATAATGAAGTATCGGTTATAACAAAGTAACTGAAGAATAGCCTTTTAATAGGTGTAGTGTTAGGAATAAACCTTTATAACAAATTTTCGGTTATAACAAACTTTCTTCTGTGTAAGATACAAATTTGTTATCATGAGGTTGGCGTGCATAACCAGTATGAATCTGTAGGTGGGCTACAAGAAATTCATTGAAGGCACACTGCACAATAAAGAATGCCAACAGTGGACTGCAAAATGAAGTTTGTGTCCATACAGAAGTTCTTAACAGATCTTTTCAGTCGTAATATTCCTATGTCTTTGTCTCGTAGATTAAGGTGCAAATTCCAGCTGAGTGTTAGAAATCTGAACCCATTCCTTAGGAGGAACCGTGAAGTAGCTCGCAATGTCAACAAACTTGTTCAACATGCAAGCAAGGTATAGAAGTTCTTTCTGTTGGATTTGCTTTTTTTATATAGTCTTCCTTCTTCTGCTGGCCTGTGAAATAGACCTGGCTTCTGCAACAGAATAAAAGCATGGACCACATAGATTTCAGGATAATATCACGGTAATTAAAGAAGTACTGACACAGAATTCTGCAGGTGACATAACTTGTGAGAAACATTTGTGTGGACACACACGCTCATGTCTTGTGCAAATTATTAATGCCAAATATATCTTAGAATGTACTTAAAGTAAAATTAAAGTGTATGCCACACAACTGACCGTGACACAGAGTGCCTCTAATTGTAATATAACACATCGTAATAAACTTGGAATTCAGGTAAACAACCCAAAACTGCCTAAATCCATCTTCTGTCTGCCATGCTCCTAGCATGTGCAGTCAGTGTCCAAAATTTAAAAGACCACAAGACAAGAAAAAGCAGAATCACTTGAGCTGTTTACACGACCAACCTTAAATTCGAGTTTTTTCAGTTTTCGGCCCATTCTAGAACACACCAACATGCACTGTGCAATTCAATCGAACAAAGCTACAAATTGCCCGGAAATCGGAACTTTTTTCAGTCCTAGCGGTCACTAAAATTTTGATGCCGAGCGCTGATATGCACATGCTGCCATATGGACTCTGTGTTGTTTGGTCATGTGGCCAGTTGCGTTTCCAGTAAAACCTCCAAGCCTTTCTCAGTGCCCCGTGAAACCAACACAGTGACAGGCTACAATAAGAACACTTGCAAATAATACAGTTTTGCGCTCAAGCAAAAAAGGTTTCCAGTCATGAAGTATGCTACTTGTTGCAACAGAAAGAGAATGATACAAAATATTTGCGTCAGTACCCTTCGGAAGCAGGTGGCATATGTGATATTTGGTCTCCTAAGGCATCTTTTATAAAACATTATAAGGTATTTTTGATTAACTTCTTGCATTTCTAATTCATAACAATGGCTATTTTGCTTTGCAAGCACTGTCATCGTGCCAAATAGTCAAGATCCCAAATTTTTCCTACAACAAAAGCAACAAAAGTGCTCATCTGCAGTTAACAATTTTTTGTGCTATTTAGTGTTATAACTTATTCTGATAATGAACAGAATGCCATGCTTTGGTACCTGTTGCTGTATTCTGACAGATCACTTTTGACTGTAATATCACCTTCCCGAAATCTCACCAAATTTAAATTTATCTTATTTATTTAGGAATACTGCAGGCCTTGAAAAGGCCCAGGCAGCAGGGGAAATGTACAAACCAGCAGTACAAAGTGTGCAGGTATCAAAACTAAAATACCAACAGGGCAAATCTATCAATAAGTAAGCAAGCACTGAAAAGTGTGAAACAATGTAAACGAACATACAGAATGAGAATATCAATAGTGCATAACCATCTAATCAATGTACAAGGGTTTCTGTAAACAAAAAAAATCTCATTTGAAGCAAGAAAGACTAGGTTTAAGATGTAATGGATGCGATAGAGTCAGTGTTACAGAGTCCACTAAGAGGTAGGCTGTTCCAGTCTGCTACTGTTTGAGGAAAAAAGGAATGCTTAAATATGTTGGTTTTGGCATTGTAAGGCGTTAACATGGCAGAGTGGCAATGTCTTGTTCAAACTTACAAGAACAAATGAGAGCTCAGTACACAAATGCACAAGGGTAGAAAAAACGAAAAAGGAGCTCTCACTACTCTTTGCAGGGGGAGTATTGGGGGAAGTGATAGCATCACCTCGAGTGATCATCTCAGAATTCTTCCCCAGCTGTCAGAATCTCATTCTTAAGGAAACACACACAAAGTGGTCATTCATTTTCAGATGAAAAATTTCAGGCAT